ACTACCGCTGTTGCCCCACCTTATCCACTACCAGATACCAGTTCAAATCCGCCCCCATGTTTATCATCATTGGATGATCCATTTTCCTATCTAGATGATACACCCAACAACCCCGTACCACCTGTTGCCTCCACTTCCCGGCTTGCCCAGTCCATGCCCAACGCATTGTTTGCTACGCCGAGTTTCCTCGAGGCTCAGACTAGCATTTTGACTTACGCAATGCCCATCTACTCTCATGCCTTCATGACCTTTGGTGCAGGAAAGAGACAGAAAGAAATCGATCAGTTCTCAGCGGCGAACCCTTTAGAAGCGATGTCACTCGCTGGGGGTCGTAGTGTTGTGCCATACCACGTCCCATCGTAAGCTTTTTTCTTTTCGCGGATTTTTATCCTCGTTTACCTAGCGAATCAGTGCGGCTCATCCTGTTGGTTCAGCAATCATGATCTTGGGAGGCTTTGGGTTCCTGGGCCGCCTTCACGGCTTGAGCAGTGACAACTTGGTAGAAGCAGAAGTCGTTTTGGCAGACGGTCAAATCGTCGTGGTCAGCCACAACGAACACCCAGGTATGTATCATACATATAATACTATTGACCTTGTCTTAACTGACGTCTAGATCTGTGGTGGGCACTGCGTGGTGGTGGTCCAGCCTTTGGTATTGTCACACGTTACAAAGCCAGAGCTTATCCAGTTCCCGTCGTCTTCGCGGGTAATCTCATATAGTGAGTACTGTCTTGTTTGAATTGGATCGGAACTTCACACTACTGTTCACAGTCGTTTTCATAGCGCAACTGCACCATCACTAATCAAGCACTTTCGCGATTGCGTCAAGGGTGCTCCCCGGGAGTTGTATGCCAATGTTCTGCTTACGGCTGGCCCTGCAGGGCAGGATTCCTTAGTTGTTATCCAGATGTGTTACGTCGGTCCCAAGATAAAGGGCCAGGAATTCTTACAGGCCATTTCGTCGTGGGACGGTGGACGGTGTCTTCTCAATGAGGTCGATGAGAAGTCGTTCCTTCATCAGCAAGACAGCGTTGCACAGGTTCTCCGTGGAAAAGGTGAGCAGCAGATTTAATTGAATCAACATGCGTCTTCTGAGATGTTTGCTACTAACAGCAGGAAACAAGTGGTTCATACGATCTGCGCTTATTAGCTCGCTTCCGGATGATATCGTAAATAAGACGGTCCTTCAATTTGCGGGCACGCCTGTTGGCTGCAGTACGTCTTTTTTGTCCCGTCCTCGTTTTCGATCTCTTATTGCATCTTGGACACAGCGTGGTTGTTCGAATTGGCTGGTGGCGCACTTGGTGATTTCGAGGATAATTGTATACCGAAGGCGCAACGTCAGGCTTCCTTTACTGTTGCCGCGTTGCATCAGTGGGATATTGGATTCCAAGATCCGCGCTGTGTCCATTCCGCGGAGGAGGTAAGGATATTATCATCGAGTTACTTGTTCCTATACTCACCTCCCATGTTCGTTAGTGGATTGCAGAGACTTGGCACCGGTGACGCTCGGTGGCCCCTTGCCAAGCGTATGCGTTTCCTCCGTACCCACATCTGATTTTTTTCATTTACATCGCCGACAGTTCTTAGGCAGACAGGAGCCTCCTGGTCGAGTTATTGCTTGCTACGGCGAGAACTGGGCTAGGCTGTGCGAGGTGGAAAAAGAAGTATGACCCTGACAACTTCTTCAGGAACTCTTTTGGCCACTAAATGCACAGGGGGAGATCATTGAACCCGAAGAGCATGAGCCTCAGCACATTCAGTTTTGAGCCAATTAAGTGCTTCTCGTTCCGTTATTTAGCTAGGCAATCTAGTTTAGTTGCACTGGCAGGATCTAGGGCCAAAGCATTATTGCATGTTTGTACGCTATGTAAGATTTTATGGGCTTTTGGGCGTGCGGATATGGTGACTAGGACTGTAGCTACGTAGCTTTTTGGTTAGACCGATCTCTCTACACGATGTTTGGGCACATGTTAGTTACAGCTATACTTTGTTCTCAGGGAAGGAACTTACTTCTCCATATTTAAATCGATCAGTCATGAGAATTAATGTATTTTTACAAGCTCAAGCCCCCACAGGCAGTACTGTCATATCATTGAGACAGTCACAGTTTCAACGGTAATTCAGTGCCAATGTATGATCGACGTGAACCACTGTACGTAGCCTAGCTAAGGATCGAGTGCGCAACTAGTCATGCATGCATGGTGCTGATACTGAGTAATTCGGCGATCACTACCATAATGGGAAAGCCCCACCGGGCCGGTCAGGCGCTGCACCGCTTTCTTTTTCACACTTGATGACAGTCGGGTATTAATGCATATCCGATCCAGTGGCTCCCGCTGCACCCCCCTCCTGCTTACTGCCACAAGTACTGCTGTGTCGGTCACCTTTGCGTAGTCACGCCGTGGCATCTACCATGCACTAATACCGTCCCCTCTGCTTGCATCATGATACCCTCTCGCATACTTGCGCAATTCTTGCTAGGCTCCGTGAAAAACTTCCGAGTTTGTAACACCGGGGTTTTTGACACGTTTTTAACATGTTAAAAACATGTCAAAAACTCGTCAAAAACTCAAATATATTAGTATTTGATCCCAGGAACATAGTCTGTCAGCTCCCTCTGAGATATAAGCTCAATACATGACCTTGATGCTGGCATTGCTCTCGCAAGACTGAATAAACAGATTGTCGCTTATGCCAACTGTCAGAGAAGCCGGTGGAAGGGGTAAACAGGGCGCCTCAACAATAGGATACTGTAGTTCCAATGCCTTCGCGAGGACCTCATCAGTAAAAACACCATGTTGCTTAAGCTGCCTTAGTCAGCTTAATTGACTTGGCTCAAAACTTGTTTGCTCTCCCCCGCATTATTCACTTGGCATGTCTCATGTTTTTTCGGTGTGAAATACAATAAAACATGTATATTAATATATCCCAATGAATTTTCTCTGAACATGTTTAAGTTGAAATTTTAGTCGATTGGTAGACTGACTTTCACATAAGACACTTAAGTGTGAGTTAAGTTACCTTGCGGAGCAAGGTCTATGAATGCGGCGTGACCTGTGGTGGTAAACATCACAAATATACACGTGATCATCGCGAACCGTCTGACACCAGACACACCAAAATGAATTAGACTGCGTTATTGCTGATTCTGCACAGAATTACATTATGGCGAATGAGATAATGGTACAAAGTATCTTCAAGAACGATCCTCCCGAACAATAATTACACTACTTTTTTAAAATCCATCCGGCAAACTCATTTCATCACTGGCCCTCACACATATGCCATGCTATGAACGGCCCGAGGTTCGATAACAGCGCGAACAATTAACCTCGAGGTTGTTTCAACCACGCTGATGCAAAATCACACAGCATATGCGAGGATGGTATGTGCTCCAATATCCAGAGCATACGAGAGCGCGAATGCGTCCAAATTGATTTATACCTGAAACCTGTCCAAGATATGAAAAAATGCATAGTGACAAAGACTACTCGCCTGAATATGAACCACGACTCCAATTGATCGTCTGACCTGCGATTCTACAAATGTAGCTGCTTGCCATCATTTCTGTATAAAAGTCAACAGCCTGGCGCATTCCGCAATTAGATATGAGCAAATGACTAACTCAGATTATCTCATCACAACAGGTGTCATGGACTTCATTCACAGCGGACAATACGACGAACGAACGACATAACCATTATCAAAAATGCGGCAAAAGAGAACACAGAAGGTTCGTAAGTTAATTGTCAGACAAACAGCCCAAGCACCAATTTCTTAACTGACCACTCGAGGAATTTTGAGAGCAGCATCTCTCAACCGTTCTGCTAACAGAAGTGTATCTGCATACACCACTGTAGTATCTAAGTCGCGTGCCATTTTCTGAGCGATTCCTCAGTAATAAATTAGGGTAAAAGACGCCAACATATAACTAACTGACGTACGATTAAACTCTGCTGGATCTGCACATAACACTTGATCTGCAAGGATGGTAGGAGAGTCTGTATAAATCATTCGAGACCCGCTAGACTCAAAGGCTTCTTGGACAGCGGCCGCAGTCTGAATGAAGATATGGGGAGTGCCGCGAGATTGGTGTTCGACTGATGAGACACTCATCAACGATAAATAATGCACATAACGAATTAAACATACTAAATATAAAAGCACATTCGGCGTTGGAAGTCTTCAGCAATTCGAACACGCTAAGCTGCATCGTAGACCCCTTCGACACCCTTTGGAAGATCTTCGTATAGAAGACGAAAGAATGCGAGAACTGGAAGAAGACACCGAGAGACGTTTTAATGAAGGTGAATATGGACCCATATGAAAGTTTACAGCCTTTTGTATCATGCTCAGAATGTTGTGGTGCGCTGAACGGCGAGTAATCAAAGATATTTGGCCCTGTTGATATTGTGGGCAAGTCAAATTAAGCGAAAGAGCTCCGCAAGGTAAAAAGTCGGCAACGCCGACCCTAGTCTGTTTAAGGCAGCTTAAGTAACATGATATTTTACTGATGCCCGCCTCCAGTGATGTGTGCAATCCACATGGTCATGGCTTATCATTATGTGGCATGGGGCAGATAGCTGATGCCAAGTACACTCAGCGTTTGGGGGTTTTCAAGGGGTCACCCACCTGAGTCCTCCAAGCCTCATTATCTGTCATGGCCAGAGCCACATGAGGCCAAACCAAGACTGCTCAGATGCAGGGGCTTCACTGGAAGCTTGGCAAAAATTCTAACATGGATTAAAAGATGCAAGAAATATACATATATGGCATCAGAAAATGAGAATACCAGAAAACCCGCAGCAGTAAGAAAAAGAAGAGGTGTTTGCGTACCACGTATATTTTACTCAGGCTGGATGTGTGCCCAGAAAAAGAATCCGACCTGCCTGGCTCGAACAGGCGACCTCAAGATGGCATTTTTCCAATTACAGTCTCGCGCTCTTCCAACTGAGCTAAGGTCGGATACGTATCAGTGTAAAATTCTCTTACTTTACCAATTGGACAGCGCGCGATAGACAAGTATCCTTTGACGTGGTCTGAGGTTCTTAATATTGGTCCCTATGATGGCCTTCATTCCAAGGCGTCACCTTCTGACGAAGGGGTGTTTATTGCTTTGGCTCTTGTCTTGGGTGTCAAACTCGTACTTAGCCCCCACTCTTCATCCTCATTGGAACCATCAGTCTTCCAATCCTATAACGTCTTTGAGCGCGTTACGGTGTAAACAAGATTCTGAATGTCCGAAAGTACAAATTCTTGCAAGGGAGGACGGGGAGAGATGTCAGGAAGGATATCCTTGACGATGTCATAGCTGACGGGGTCACTGATTATTGGAATCGGTTTCAAGCACCATTGTGAGTTGCCCTCCAAGTCTCCGTGGTATTTGACGCGACGCGCCCGAATAGAATAATGGGAAA